TTTTTTTTTTTTTTTTTTTTTTTTTTGTTTTTTGTTTTTTTCCGTGTCCGGCAACGGATCGCAACCCTCAGCGTTGCCCCCGCACCGGACCGGGGACCGGCAACGGGATCGCAAACCTCGGCGTTGCTCCCGCGCCCCGCTCAGCCAGCGAGCGGGAACCGGTCTGCATATGGGATCCGAACCCTCGGGCGGGAGCACCGCCGCGCCCCCAAGAAGCGCACTGGAGCAGTGCGCCACCAGGCCGGCCCCAAAATAAAATGTTTATTTTTTTTTATTTTTTATTTTTTTTTGTCTTTTGTCTTTTTTCCGTGTCCGGCAACGGATCGCAACCCTCAGCGTTGCCCCCGCACCGGACTGGGGACCGGCAACGGGATCGCAAACCTCGGCGTTGCTCCCGCGCCCCGCTCAGCCAGCGAGCGGGAACCGGTCTGCATATGGGATCCGAACCCTCGGACGGGAGCGCCACCGCGCCTCCCAAGCGGCGCACCATCCAGTGCGCCACCGGGCCGGCCCCCAAAATAAAATGTTTAAAGGACATTCCTAGTTTATTCTTATGTCTTGTTATAATTTACATAAATTATCTTTTGTAGATGAAAAAGGTGACCAATTTTGTATGTTCTCAGAAGAAAGCAGCATTGTTCCAATGTCAGATAGCCAAGAAAGCTCCTGGCCTGCTGAAGCAAGATTGACCAGTGATCCGTGACTTATTCCACCACTCGACCCTACCCATTGTTTGTGAACAGATGGATACAGTTCTCTTTTTAAGCACAGTAAACCTCAGAATTTGGTTATCACCCACAAAGGAAGTGAAGGTGGCGGCTGGTGTCTGGTTCGGTGGCAGCATAGGACTAGTAAATGGTGACACCCAGCCTGATAAAAAGGGTCCATGGCTGCCAGGCATGGCTACTCTTGCCCCAGCAGCATGGAAGTCACCAGCCACGAAGTTTTTGTGTGGTACTTACTTAATGGAGTTTGTTTATTTTCCAACTCTACGGCCTCTCCATCTTGTGTTAACTCATTATATGTTCTCAGGTAATACTGCTGCATTTCACTTTCATCCAGATAAGATGACCAGCACTCTGCAATTCTGAATTCTGAACAGGGCCAGTCTTCAGAATTTTTTTTTTTTTTTGTGGCTGGCCAGTATAGGGATCCGAACCCATGACCTTGGGGTTATAAGGCTATGACTTAACCAGCTGAGCTAACCAGCCAGCCCTCAAGATGACCAGCAAACTGAGGTAGTTTCCAATTAATCTCAGCCTATTGGGTCCCAGTATGATATGCTTGGCTCCTGTAAGTTCTGCACAAATGTCATATATTCTTTAACATCATCAGTGAAGTGGTGGTAACATTCATAACTTAGCAGGCTGTCCTTCAAAGGGGTATGGATGGTAACATAGTTTTTTTTTTTTTTTTTTTTTTTTTTTTTTTCCG